TCTGTGTGCCCCATACCACAGGGACAGAGCCCTTGATGTCCCATGTCACCCTAAGGGGCATGACCCACCCCGCAGGGACCTGGCCTTTGGCATCTCTCATTGCCCTCTGGGGATGCAGTTCTCACTGCCCCTCACCCCACAGGGAGAGCCCTGCGTGTCCCCCCATGGGGACTATGGCCTTTGGCATCCCCTCCTGTGGGGCACAGCCATTGCTGTGCCCCCTCCCACAGGGACACAGCCATTGGTGGTCCCACCACCCCACTGGGACACAGCCCTCAGCACCCCTCTCCCGCAGGAGCCATCCTCATCACCTCTGCGCGCTTGACGAACTCCTCAGTGGCGGCGGCGCTGCCCGCGCCAAGCACTGAGTGCCGACGCCTGCAGCGCCCGCCCATAGGAGAAGGTGAGGGCCCATGGCCGCACCAGTGGGCATGTGTTGATGGCGTTTAGGTTGATGGAAGCCTCCTCCTCACTCTGACCCCCAGACAGGAAGGTGACACCTACAGAGAGTGAGGTTATGGCACCAGGAGGGCCATCAGGCATCCCTCTCCTGGTCCCCATCACATGCCAGTGCTGGTACCTGGCACAGCCGGGGGCACAGTGCGGCGCAGGGCAGTCACAGTGGCCATGGCAATCTCCTCAGGGCTGTACTTGGTGGGGCAGGAGTGCCCAGGGGTCACCATATTGGGTTTCAGCAGGGTCCCCTCCAGGTAGACGTGGTGGTCGCTGAGTGCCTTGTAGACAGCCGCCAGCACCTGGGGAGGACAGGCAGCATGGAGTCCCTGGCACAGCATGGCACAGCACGGCACGGTGCCCACCCCGCTGCCCCCCCCATTACTCACCTTCTCTGTCACGTACTGGCACCGCTTGAGGTCATGGTCACCATCGGGCAGGATCTCTGGCTCCACGATGGGCACAATGCCGTTCTGCAAATATCAGGCAGATGCCATCATGGGGACATCCCTGGTCATCCCCCTGGCCTCACGGCAATGTGAGCCAATGCCTGGACCTGGGGTGCAATGCTCAGCCCCAAAGTCCAATGTTCACCCTTGCCAGTGACGCACATCCCAGTGGAGTGATGCTTGGCTCCATGAGGTGATGCCCAACCTGGGAGGGTCAATTCTTGGCCCCACAGAGCAATGCCCAAGTTTGTGGGGTGATGCCCACCCCATGGGACAATGCCTGGTCCTGATAGTCAATGTCCACCCATATGATGTGTTATCTAACCCATGGGTTGATGTCCAGCCTCACGGGGTGATACCCAGACATGGGGGCAATGCTGAGCCCCATGGATCTGTGCCCACACCTGTGAGGCAATACCTGGCCCCTTAAGGCAACACCCATCCTATGGGTCAATGCCTACCCCATGGGGTGATGCATGGCCGCAGACATGTACCTGCTGGCAGATGCTGGCATAGCGGGCCAGGACGTTGGCGTTCTCCATGATGGCGAGTGCGGAGGGGGTGTTATCGCTGATCTTCAGTACGCAACGCCACTTGGCAAAGTCAGCCCCATCCTTCTTGTACTGAGCACAGCGCTCCGACAGCCCGTCCAGACCTGCCAGGCAGCATGTCAGCCCCACAGCT